AGAGATGGAATATCTTCAAGATCAAAAAAGAAGTCCAGCTGGCTTAAGTCAAGCTCTTTGGGTGACTGAGACTCTTCCCAGATTTAAAGGGAAAAAAATTACAACATGCTTGTGATATATATCTTACAGACTTTTCTAGATTTAGAGCAGCAACGTTTATCATATGAATACATTTGGATCTGATAAAGCTACAGAGAAATCTGCCTGACCGGTAATCCATAGATTATGAAAGTTAAAAAGAAAAAAAAAGGAAAAAGTTTAAACACAAATCTTCTTTTTTAGTATTCCATTGATAATAAGACTCAATGTTCAGAAGCACTGATGGATTTTGAATTAATCTGTTTGACATCAGTTGTTTATGAATAACTAAGAAAAATGTGAATGTGAAGGAATACATCTGTGATACATTGGATACAAACTCTAAAAATACAGGGGTTAGTTTGGGTCCTGAGAGGCTGACATTAAGCTTCGGTGATCGTCCTTTGAGGTTAGTTTCTCTTGACAACAGACACAGCTGCTACTAAACAAAACAACAGATAACCTGAAGACAACCACAAAGAGATGCAGAGCATCTAACAAATATCTGGACAAATGACCACGAGGGGATTCCAAACAAAGGAAAACAGCCAAACCACGATTTGGTGGGGTTTTCATGCCTCTTTCAACCCTTTAAGTCCTCTGTGATAACTTTAGTCTTAGATGTTTGTTCCTGGAGGCTTGTTGAGTCATAATCTGTTTATTTCTTCCATGCAGGGTGCATGTTTCTCTCTTTTTCTCTCTCTCAAACACACACACACAGGCACGCACACAGACTCACAATCTCAGTGATTCACACCTGCAGATCCTTGTTTTAACGCTTTGTCATGCTACACTTGCTAGGCTATTTCCATGATTAATTTGTGGAGTCAGACTTGTCTCCTCAAAGAGGATGCATTGGGCCACTGAACTGATTGGGGCATCATGATGGAGGCACCATGTCTGCTACCATGGAGACAATGGCTGCCTTAAAACGTCCTCAGTGACAGGGACATAACGTTTTTATTTACCTCCCATCACTTGGACTTATTCAGTAATAAGTACGCCTTCACAATTTATGCAAGCATGACAAAACATTTGATTTAAAGCTCGAGATCTTTACTGGAGACCAAATCTGTACAGATATTCAGAAATATCATCTTCAATATGATATTCATATTTAAGATTTGTTTGGGTGTTTTTTCTCCCCATTTTCAACAATGTCTGTGGTCCATTTTCCAGCGATGGAGATCAGATAAATGATGGGAATATGTAATTTATGGGGTTAATAAAATGAAAGGTAATAACATGTGTATCTGGAAATACAGCTACTGTTCATCTTTGTTTTATTGCCTCTTAATTTTGAGAAAACAATAATTTACATACAGAACGTGTTCAAAGTTAAACACAACTTGACTTACAACGCATTAAAATGACAAACAAAATAAAAACTATCTCTAAATGCTGAGCTAATTTGAGCTGAGCTTTACTGTGCAGCTTGTCCTGGTGGAAATCAGTTGATTTTTAAGTGAAATACACTTCTCTGCGTGAAGCATTATGGCGCAGGAAGTGATTTTCCTTTCAAAGTTTCTGGAAAAGACATAAAGATCTGGTCATAAAGCAGTTCTTGCTGACAAAAAGCTACATTTCATCATGGCGCTGTGTTGGAGGGGCCTTATTACAGCAAAGGCACAAGAGGAAGTGAGGAGGTGTAGTCACGAGCCATTATTTCTACACAGGGAGGAGGTCTGAGGAGGAGAGACTTTAATGAGGGAGATAGCTGCCTGTTTGTTCCTTTAATGCAATAACCTCTAAACGTGGCTGTTTAATTGTGCTTGTTGAAAGTAACAACAGTGGTCCTGTATTTGCTCCCAAATTTAGCTTTACTCCAACCCCATAGAGCTTCCCTTTATTAGCAAAATAAGATCCAATGGGAAACACAGTACACAAAATAAAAACGAAACCTCTGAAATAGGAATCAGGGGCTGAAAAAGAATGCAGAAAACCCTCAACAAATGCCAAATTTCAACACTGCTGATTCAGTCCACTTTATATGCAAAAAGCATCCAAAGCAACCAGATTTTTATGGTCTGAAAGATACCGAACACATTTTACCTGCATGGGAAACATGCCAACAAACAGATTTGGGAACAGAAATAAAGGAGTCAAACTTTTAGCTGATCAACATAAAATAACACAAAAGCCTCGTAATCTGTTACAGGCTGGTGTTTATAGAATTTTGTTTAGTAAATCATTGAAAAAGCCCAACTTTTTCTGGGTTTTTTGCATTCATCCAGAGACACAGTGTCGGGAGACGCTAACGCTTGTACATCTTTCAGGATGGATCCACTAAGAGGCAGCTCTGGCACATTCCAAACTGAGCTGTCACAGGTATGTCTAAATCCTCCATTTTTTCCTAACATATGAGGGCAAAGCTCCGGGTTGGAGGAGCACAACAAACACAGCGTGTCTGAGCATGTGGGTGTGTGTTCTCCTCTCTCTTTTCACGTTTTTAAGAGAAGAGAGGAGAACGGCAGCGAGAAGCAGGCTAAAATACGGCTCATTTGTCAGTGACACAGGAATGCTTTGACCTTCCTCAGGCAGCCAGGCTTTGCCAGCTCAGCACTTTTGCCTCCTTCGCCGAATTACAGTCGTCATCCGCATGAGTGAGAATGGCTCCCACTCGTACACGGCTGCAGAGTGCCACGCACAACAAGCAGCAGGCTGTGACAACGGGGGGGTACATTAGCATATAGTGCAGGGGCTGACAAAAGAATGAGGTTTTGGATTTGTTTCGGCCTCCGAAACTACTCGAATCCGAGCGCAGGGACGATTATCGTTGCTTTTAAGATGACAGGGAAATTAGTTAAACTGTCAGGTGAATTCCGACTAATCAGCAGAGACACTCAAAGTGCTACTGGAGAGACCATCAATCTGGTCAGTGGGATGATGGGCGATCTTAAATCTACTTGAGTGAACGCCACAAATCACTGCTTACAATGTCACGGGTTAGCTGCTACTATGTGCAGAAGTCTCCAACCCCCAATGCTCAAACGATTCTATTCTAAATTTTCTACCAGCATTCAATGAAAAGTGAAAGATGATTTCTCACAGTGGATATATCATCTACAGTTTAAGGCCTTGACATGTTTCGGGGAAATCCAGATGTGACACAAATTCTAGCTCACGTGCCCCACAATAAAAAGAAAACACTTAGAATTGAATAAGACATACCATTTAAATGGAATTTTAATGATACACACCCTTATCAATTATGTTTGAATAAAAAAAGTGTTTTACTCCCAATTTATTATTTTTAAATTAATCTAAAATGAATGCCTGTCAAGAATTTGTCATCAAAATGATTATATATTTGTGTCA